GATGACTCCTATGTAATCTTAGAAGAGTGTTTCTCAACCTCTTTTGGAGGTGCGGGGGGCATCACAGACTCTTTTGAGGATCTAAAAAAAGGTATAGATGCTCTCACCAGAAAAACTGATGAATGTAGATAGAACCCAAATGTTGTATATAATTTTAGGGGTCTACAGTCCATCTGGGTCCATGACAAGTTAATAGGATAAGAGCACTACATATGCCCTATGTAACTGGCCTGCGGTTCAAGGAGGGAGGGAGGGGGAGAAGAGAGAGTTAGCAGGGAAAGAACAAGGAAGGACAAAGAAGAAGGAAGACATGGCAGATGGAAGAAGAGAGGGTAAAGGGGAGAAAGAGGGAGAAAAATCCTAATAAACTAGGACAGGGTCTACTCAAACTGTATACTACTTTCTTTTAGCTTAGCGGCAACTACAGAAGAATTCCACTTAATCTAAGGAAAATTGGACAAGGAGGTATGAATCACTAGTTTTCCCAGGTATAATGAAATAGTTTACTCACTATCCATCCCTAGAAATAAGGACTCCTAGTTCTGCTTAAGCTGCTTCCCAATGCAAGAGAAAAAGAATATTAAATTTAATGTGAACAGCAATTTTTAAAGGCTGCCTCCTGACGCACTTCCTAAAGAGCTATCCCCCTTCTCCAATAGGGAGGGGATCAGCTTGACAGAGCATGTGGCACAAGAGGGATCCTTGGGATTGGTCCTCCCTCAAGGCAGATCCAAATTGGGGTTCAAATGAATACAATAATTCTGTTCCCAAACATCTGCCCCTTCACCCAAAACTCTGAAAAACACTGGAAGCTAAGACCTGGACAAAGCTTTCCCAGGAAAGATCCCCATCTATTCATGTACACTGTCTAAGTTTGATTTTTGCACAGTCCAAATGATTACTCTCCTTGTTCATTATTCCCTACTGATACAAGTGCTTTTGCTGGCTGAGAAAGGTGTCTTTAACTCAGAGAAATACCAATATTTGAACATCAACTGTGGATCGGAAACCCTTTGCAAAATATATTTGACCCACTATTAACTGTTCTCAGCAAGTTACTAGCACAGGCCTATTACAGCATGGGATCTATAAATAGAACAAGGCACGAGGTGAGAGCACTAAAAGGTGTGCACTTTGGCCTAATGATAAGAAAGCCTTCCTGGAAAAGACCCACTGATTCTTTTTCCCCAATACCATTGGCATAGGTGGCACTCATGAGTTCCCCTACGTTACATTTCAATCGATTACAATTAAAATATGAAGAAATCATTTCATCATGGAAGAGGACGAGACCCTGCTTTCAGAAACCTGCTTATTTGCAGTCATTTCACTAGAGATCTTGCTTTAGAAGAATCAGTGTCCTTGCCCTCAGGCCTCCCTCTGTTGGGAGTGGCCACGGTCACTGTTCCAACTCTACTCAGTGCTTCAAGGCCCCAGGAAGCTCTGCCTCATTCATGCAACCTTTCCTATGATCTTCCTTGGGCATGTTCCCTCTGCTCTGAACTTCTACAGTTTCATTTCCCCTTGGGACATTGCTTATATTCCGTCTGGTAAAGTATGGGGGTACGTGGCACTTTCACTAGACTCTGAGTTACTTAGAGGTAGGATCTAAGTTTCACTATTGTGTCCTTTAAGTAGGTAGGATGGCGCTGACACACAGCAGGTGTTCAACAAACATATGTGGAATTGAAGGGGAAGGTCAATCTGCCTAGATCATTGAGGCCTTCTCTAGTCTGCATATTCTAGAACAGCAAGTCTGCAGAATGGCTGCCGACTCCACAGATGCTAATGTCTCACTGTAAGTGTGGCTCTGTGGTTAGGACTCCAGCCACACCACCTCGGCCCTCTGCTCTTGTTGTTTCCTCTGCCTAGAAGCCTCTTCCTGAGACATCTAGTTCTTTAGCTCATCTCTTGCTGATCTTTGCTCAGACACTACTTTCCAAGAAGGGCCTTGGCTCTATCCTATTTAAGATTTCAATTCCTCCTCCCCTGTTTTGGTGTGAATGTTTGTGCTCCCCGCAAATTCTTACGTTGAAATCCTAATGCCCCATGTGATGTATCAGGTGGAGGGTCTTTGGAAGGTGCTTAAGTCATGAGGATGGAGCCCACACAAATGGAAACTGTGCCCTTATTAAAGAGACCCCAGTGAGCTCCCTCACCCCTTCCACCAAGTGAGGATAGCACAGGAAGTCTGCGACTGGAGAAGGCTCTCACCCAACCCTGCTGGCACCCTAATCTGCGACTTCCAGGCTCTAGAACTGTAAGGAAGAAATTCCCATTGTTTATAAGCTACCTAGTCTTCGGGATTTTTGTTAAAGCAGACTCAATAGACTAAGACACCAGCCCACCTCCCCCAGCAACTCCCTACCCTTTTTTCTGATTTATTTTTCTGTATATCACTCATCACCATCTAATAAACCATATATTTTACTTCTTTCCTTCTCTTTTTTTTTTAAAGATTTTTATTTATTTATTGAGAGAAAGAGAGAATGGTAGAGAGCATGAGAGAGAGGAAGGTCAGAGGGAGAAGCAGACTCCCTGCTGAGCAGGGAGCCCGATGTGGGACTCGATCCAGGGACTCCAGGATCATGACCTGAGCCGAAGGCAGTCGCTTAACCAACTGAGCCACCCAGGCGCCCTCCCAACTTCTTTCCTTTTCTTATTTTCTACTCCACCCCTATCTCCTAGAATGTAAACTCCATAGGGGCAGAGATCTTTGTTCATTGTGTTAGCTCTTTTACCCTCAATGCTTAGGACAGTCCCTGGCAGATGCAGTACAAAGTAGTTACTCAACAGATCACTATGAAGTGAATTTTAAGAGTGAATCATAAAGCATTTATAAAATATCTGCTTCTCCATGGCACTCTGTTCGCTTCTACACAAGACAGCTGCTATAAGCCAAGAAATACCACCTGATCAAATGCTCACAGCCCAGTGTATCTGCATCATTAGAGAGCTAGCAATGCATAGAAGAACAGAATAGATGTCTTCCCTGACACCATCACCAGAGATAAGGAACGTGCTTCAGTCTTCCATACCTTCTCCCTTAACAACTTACTGCACAATTAATTCAACGAAATAACTGTTCATCAGATACCGTCAAAGTGCCAAGCAAGTACGAGGAACCTGTAATCACACTTGCTCACAGCCAGCTCAAAATAGAAAACAGAAAAATAAATAATAGCTGAAATATAAGGACAAGTGTAATAGTCTTCACAAAAATGGCAAAAATGAAACAAATAAACATACAAACAGTAACAGCGCTATGAAAACATTAAGGCGGACAACCTCCAGATGGAAGAGTCGTCTGACTCTGATGACACTGAGTTGAGTCTTGAGGGATCGGTGGGAATTCAACTAGTGGGGCTGACAAGAGGGTGAGAGAAGGTAATGGAAACTCAGAGTAGAGAAAGCAGTGTAAGGCATGGAGTGGAGAATTCAATGCCAGAGCCATGCAGACAGGGAGCAATGGGACAAGGTGGGGAAGGGAGGTAGGAGCAGCCCACAAAGGGCCTCAAAAGCCATGCCGTGAGGTCGGCTTCATTCTATAGAACAATGGAGAACTGTTTGAGATTTTGCAATAAGGAATGAATATGAACAAAAGTGAATATTCTTCTTGAATCTTTTTATATCTTCATCCCATATAACTCCTTGGAGTCCTGACTTTTTGAGTACCCTAACTACTACCCAGAGAAATATTTCCATTCATTAGTCCTAAGAAACCAGCTCCATCCGATTTGTAGTTTGTCCCTGCCTTCTTAAAGATTATAATCTAAAGCAAATTCACTGAATCTAACAGACATATGAAGACTAAACTAACAAAAAGAAAATAATGCCACACTGAGTTTGACGGGAAGGAACCCACTATCATATTTCATTGGAGCACACAGCCTGGGAAATTGAGAAATCCTCCACAAAAACTTCCTGACCACCTAAGGTCCTGCCATCCTCTTATAGTTCCTGGTTTGGAATAACAGTGATTGCAACAGCAGCTAAGAACAATATCCTTACTATGAGTCAGGTCCTGGGCTAGGCGCTGGCATAGATTCTCATGTTTAATCTTCACAACAGGACATGAAGTCGATGCTGTTTTTATCCTACTTTTACACATGAGGAACCTGAGGTTTGATGATATTAAGTAGTTTGCCCCTAACTAGTCACTGACATAGATCTTAAACTGAGGTCTGACTGCAGAGCACATCACCTTCACCACCACCCTTAGCATATTTCAACATTGTTACTGTCGACTGTGTACATTTCTCATGTTCCCTACATGATAAGTTCTAGAAGAGCAATGTGCACATTTTTTTCTTTATATTTCCTTCAATGTCTCGCCTGTGAACTCAAGAACCATACGGTGAATGAATGGCTATACTTTAAGCCACTGATAATATGTGATAAAGGAGCTCAGACATGGAAGACAGTCACTCTACAGACAAATGGCCAAACAGCTTAATACTCTAAAGCCAAGAAAACTAGGTCTTCAACAAATACCATACTGACAGTATTGATGATGGGCAAGAAAGGGTCACCAAGAATACTAGGAATGCTCACCAAGATCTCATATACATGTGGTCAAGGGAACATAGTGAATATGGATTAAGAGGATGCCCAAGAAGCTTCTGTGGAGAAGAGTGGTCAGAAAAATTCTTCCTCAGAAAAAAATGACATGACCTCTTAAAACAACGGACTTCCTGGAATTATCAACCAGATAGGCCAACCTGATTTGCAAAAGGATGCTCTGCTGCCCAATCCACAGGGTCAAAGAAAGCAACGACTACCATTCAGAGATAGCAAGTTCCCAGAGGACCCAGCCAGGGGTAAAGAAATGCGCCCCACACCCCTCTGTATTTCCCCACAGCCCAAGCCCTAGGCTTTACATGGAGCAGGTATGTGGCTAAAGTGGGTGCCAACAAGAGCGTAACAGACACTGCACACCCCCGAGGATCTCAGAGGCAAAGGTGCCGTGGTCCCAGGTGCTGTCCCTGCTCTGGGTTTACCGTCATGGACGCTGTCACCGGTGGTAACGTGGGTGAATGGTGACTGGGCCCGAGGCTCCTCACACAGGGAGTAGCTGTGCTCGGCCTGGATGAGAGGCGCCGGGGATGTTGGGGATGGCTCCACCTCCATCGACACGCTCTTCTCTGAGAGGAAAGGGTCATTCAGGAGCTGACCCAACACGTTCTGGGAAAACTCATCCAGGAGTTCTGAGAAGTGCTACAAGAAACAAAGGAGGAAGAACTCTTAACCATGATCAGATAGTTACACAACATCCTAAGGCAAATACATCGTCTACTGCTTCAGACGAAGTCACTTACATACAATGTCCAGTTATCTATTGCTGTGTAGGAAACTACCCCAAAGTTTAGCGGCTTCAAATAAGTACAATTTATTATTCCACACTCTTCTGTATACTGGCTGGGCACACAAGCTCATTTCATGCGAGCTCACTGAGCTGGGAGGGTGGCTGGGAGCTATGCGGGGCCGGGCCAGCCGAATGCCTGACTATGTCAGGCTGAGATTCCTCACATGATGGCAGAAAGGCTCTAACAGGGAGAAAAACAAAGCTAAATGGCCCCAAAAGTCACACATCAACACTTTTTTGGTCAAGGCAAGTGAAAAGGCTAGCCCAGACGCATGGGGTGGAAAAACAGACTCCACCTCTTGATGAGAGAAATGGCGAAATCACAACGCAGACAAGTGTGGGCGGAGGATAGCACAACTCACCAGAGGCCATCCCTGTAACTATCTACCATATTTTTCATTGGGAATATTTTTAAATACCCTATCCTGTACTTCTATAGCATGCAGGTACTGTTTATAGCAAGGTGCCAAGTTCAAAGGCATCAGAGGCAGCTTCTCTCTGCTCTCCCACCACCTGGACTCTGTTCCTCTCCAGGTTTTCCTTAATCTCTTCTCATCCTCCATCTCCAATACCACTGACTCCTTAGCCCACACCATGCAGTGAAGATGATACAGGAATGGTCTATACACATATTCACAGGGACTCCTGTATCCCGTGTTTCACGGTCCCACACTAACAGAGGTACAGCCTAATCACTCTCCCTCACTGATAGGGGGATAGTCATGTTACAAGGATGCATAAAACCAGGTTTTTCAGTCTGGGCACTACTGACATTTTGGACTGGCTAATTCTTTGTTATGGGGGGATAGGGTTTTTCTGTGCATTATAGGATGTTTAGCACCTACCCAATGCTAGTAGCACTCCCCTAGTTTGGAAACCAGAAATGTCTCTAGACACTGCCAAATGTCCCCTGGGTTGGGGGGAGGGAGGAGGGAATCATCCTTAGTTTAGAACTACCACTACAGACTACATTAAAAAATAATAACAACAAAATTAAATTAAATTTGAAAGTCCATTTTGGCACCAGCCACTAGAGCCATTTCGTCCTTCTTAACCTTCCAGAGTCACAGACAAATAGGTGTCATCCTTATTGATTAAATTTTAGGGACATTTCTGGTGTAGAAAGAAGTTACAAAAGCAGATACAGCAACAGGAGAACTGATTTCAAATGGTGATGCTTGGGGTAGGCAAAGAAAACTCTTGGGATCCACACAGATACTAAGTCCTTCCACTGAAATGTCAATGAAGGTGTTCCGAAAATAAATGCACGTTGGGGATGGGGAGGCAGGAGGTTAGAGCTCTAAGATTATGGTAGTTGTGGGACAGAACTTCTCCTTTAATAAAGGAGAGAAGGAGACAACAGGGAAGAGGCCCTTGTAGGCTAGGTCCTCAAAGTAGAGTTAGATTGGTGGGTTTTGCCAACATCACCAATATGAGAAGTGGCTGCATCTCATCAGAACAGAACACAAGGAAGCCACAGGCCTTGGGCACAGCCTGATAGGCATCGGCCGTCTACAAGAATAAGAGAGATGCTTGGGGGAGAGTTCTCGGCACACAACACATTTAGAACTGAAAAGCCCCTAGAAGCATCGAAGGCAAGAATTCCCAAAGGTCGACTGCCTGCAGCACAATCACCAGGAGACTTTTGTTTTAGTCATTTTATAATGAAATATTTAAAACATTCAGAAAAATTATAGAAAACAATATCATGAATAATTATGTATTCGTTCCTTTGGGGAAAATCTTGTTCTTCCATGTTTGCTGCTGCAATGTTTTTTTCTTTACTCTTCCTTTTTTAAGAAAAAACATGGGGCGCCTGGGTGGCTTAGTCAGTTAAGTGTCTGCCTTAGGCTCAGGTCATGATCCTGGAGTCCCGGGATTGAGTCCCACATCAGGCTTCCTGCTCAGTGGGGAGTCTGCTTCTCCCTCTACCCCTCACCCCACTCTCGTGCTCTCTCTCTCTCTCTCTCTCTCTCTCTCTCAAATAAATAAATGAAATCTTTTAAAAAAAGAAAGGAAGAAAACATGAAGGGACTATTAAAGCTCCCCATCTCCCTTCCTCCCTCCCAAAGTTAACCAATACCCTGAACTTGGTTATCATCCCCATTCAGGTCTTTACATTCTTACTACATATGCATATTTTCATTACATACATATGAACTTTAAACTTTAAACTTTAAATAAATAGTACCATCCCTCACACATCCTTCTGCAAATTTATTCTCTCCAAAAACATTTTTTAGATTTATTCATGTTTATACATGCAGCTCTATTTCATTTATTTGAACTTCTGATTTGTATTCCACTGTATTTATCTATTTCTTCTTCTTCTTTTTAAAGATTTTATTTATTTATTTGGCAGAGGGAGAGACAGCACAAGCAGAGGGAGAAGCAGGTTCCCAGCTGAGCACGGAGCCCAATGTGGGACTCAATCCCAGGACACTGGGGTCATGACCTGAGCAGAAGGCAGACACTTAACCGACTGAGCCACCCAGGCGTCCCTTTATCTATTTCTTCTTGAGAGATATTTAAATATCTTATTATTATATGTGATAATATAATAAACATTCTTGAACATAATGGTAAATTTTTTTAAAAAATACAAATCCTGTGACCCACCTTCAGAGGCTGTGAGTTGTTCAAAACCACCCCCACCACCTGTGCTTCTAATGTTCACTTCAGTTTTTCAACCACTGAAGGTCGACCCCAACCCCACTCACCTCCCCCACCCCTGCACACCCCACTTTACAATTAGTTCCCTAGAAGCTTACAATGTCCCTAGAGATCGAGATACGCCCAAGTCAGAGGAAGACTCATGGCTATTGCAGCCACCTGTGTTAAACCTGAAACAGATTTTGGGGGTATGAAATAATAAAGACGACAACAGAAAAGCCATGCCTTTCCTGAGCTTGCCATTTAGGCCAGTGCTTCTCATACTTTGATGTCCATGTGAATCACCTTAAGACACAGATGGTGACTTGCAAGTCCAGGTGGACCTGGGGGTCTGCATTTCAAACCAGCTCCCAGAAAATGCTGCCCTTCCACAGACTACACTTTGCAGAGCAAGGAGCAGAATACCTGCAAGACTAAGGTTAAGATCCAGGTTTCCAGAGTATAAGATAACCGGAAGTCAGGGTCCAACTCCCTCAGCAGGTCCCCAAAACAAATTAAAATACAAACTCAAGAGCTGAACTCACAATCCCTGTATTTCCCAGCCACAATTCTGTCCCCTGAGTGGCAATGTCAACTCCGGCCAGCTGTGCTGACGCTGCTAAACCTCTGGAATCCTGTTCTACCCTGAGGCAAGGCTCTCTTTGACTGCCCTGCTTTCCCATGGAAGCCGCCAGGTTGGGCTACTCGGCTGACACCATTTTCCTTCTCCTGGGCAGCAGTAATGAATGTTTTTGTGAACATCCCGCAAATAACCAGTAATAAACCTTCTCTAACTCTGCTAACCATCCCTGAACTCCCCTCTCATGAGAGAGAGAGCATGGGAGGGTTTTGTAGTAATTATCACGTTGCCAAACAAAGTAGCCCTAAATGATAGGCAGTCCTGAAGGACTCGCAGTTGTTACTGAATGCATTATGCTAACCTCCTCTCTGGAAAAAGAACCTCCTCAGGAGAAGGGACCAACTGTACCTGACCTCCACCCATACCTCGGAACTTTGCAAGGTGGTGAGCACTGAGTAGGTCCCAGGGGGATACTTGTGATTAAAAAGAGATTGTCCCAACTTGTCCCAACCAGATGCTGTGACTCAGCCCAGCAGATCAGCTCCAGCTGGGTCTCCTTGGCAGCTGTGGGCTCAGGCACTCAACAGACAGGTTAACATCTCACTGCTGGTGCAGGGATGAGGCCAAAACCGGCCCATCATCACTGGCAGCCAGTGAGAGGGGGGCATATGGCCTTGGAGACAAAAAAACAGACAAAGAGGCAAAGTGAACCTCCTCAAACAGGGAGCCTTCCTGGATCCTGCAAAGGACTATGCATGGGAATCCAATTTATGAAATTTTAGTTGACATGGCATAATAGCATTTTACCATTCTGCCTAAGAGTCTAGTCAAGCTCTCTGGATTTACAAGGTATTTTCACAGCTCTCCCCTCAATCAATGCTCACAAGACCTCAGTCGCCTACTGCTTGAGCTAGGCCTTGAACTAATTTCAAACTGACCGAACTTTCCTCACAGTATTGCTCCTAGGAAAGAGGTGTTTGAGCTCCACGGTCCAACTGCATGGAGAGAAGTTCTATTCAGTATAACACCATAAAGCTGCTGCTGATCATCAATGATGATGTGGACAGGACCAGGTGCTAGGTCATCTGGTGGAGAAGTGCTTCACCTATTAGACTCTCAGAATGCAAGCAAGGTGCTGTCCTATAAGGCAGGCACGTGCCCATTTGCCAGTGAGAAAATGGGGGTTCGGGGCAGTCAGGTGCACTGCCCAGGGTTGGGGCCACAGGTTCTGAAGTCCATGCACTCTCTACTACAGAACACTGTCTCACTGAAGTCTGTCTCCAAAGCTGACATGTAGTGGGGGCTGGAATTTCAAAAATATTCATATAGATTTCACCGACAGCCCGTCCACTCATCCACCACAGAGTCTTCCACATTCACTGTAGAAACGTGCCAGGTAGGTGGGGACCTGGGTGGCTCAGTGGTTAAGCAGCTGCCTTCAGCTCAGGTCATGATCCCAGAGTCCCGGGATTGAGCCCCTCATCAGGCTCCCGGCTCAGCGGGGAGTCTACTTCTCTCTCGGACCCTCCCACCTCTCATGCTCTCTCTCTCAAATAAATAAATAAAATCTTGAATGAATGAAAGAAAAAGAAAGAAAGAAAGAAAGAAAGAAAGAAAGAA